GGGAAAGCTGGTGGACACCTTTCCTGATTTTCAACCATCCATATATTGTTGTTGTGTAGTGCCATGGAGTCAGTTCTGACTCACAGCGACCCTGTAGAGAGAGGGTTTCCAAGAAGCCAAGGTGGGTTTGGACTGGCAACCTTGTGGTTACAGTCCAGTGCTTATCCTACAGCGCCACACCGGAATTTATACCATTACAGGGCACATAGGAGTCCTGGTGTGGCGCTATGGGTTAAGGCGCTAGACTGCAAATTCGGTTTGAACTGCAAGGTTGGTGGTTCAAGCTCACCATCACTCCTTGGAAACCCTCTACGGGGTTGCTATGGGTCAGAACCGACTCGGTGGCACTTAACAACAACAAGGAGGTGTCCCTATGTCAGAGGAGAAGGGAAAGCAGCAGAGAGGAAGTGGAAAGACACGGCCTCTGTTTCACAAGCAATCACGTGCAGCTGTGGGGAAGCAGCAGGCTTACACTCCATCCGGGTGTTTTCACTAACTGACCTCTGGCCTCCCGACATCCAGTCACTGCCAGAGCCCCCAGTGAGCCCGGGCTGTGTACAAGCTGAAGATCTCCTATGGGAGTGGTGAAGGGAGAGACTGCTCCAAAGTTAGACCTAAGATACTGACAAGATGCAAACCCAGTTTGTAAGTGACATGTTTTAGGAGAAAACCATTTTTCCTTCTCCCAACAATCAATCAGGTCATACCATCTCAGGGATTAAGGAGGTTTCTGGGAGTTTCCCACTAAATCCCCTCCTCAGGCTGAGCCAAGGAGTGTCCTGGCCTACCCAGGGTTACTGAAGTTCCTTGTTCCTCATTCTGTTTTTATTGTAGACCTCTACTATATATCCTTCAAAATTCAACCTGGGAGTCTAATTTGTCTTCATGCTTGAAATTAAGCTAAAAAGAGAATTATGCAATTGGACATTAAGTCAACTTACTACAGTTAAACAATCCAGAACTGGGTGAAGACCAACTGCAAAATAAAGAATTCTCAGGAACTTCTCACACTTGTCATTCAGAAAAGCAAATTCTAATTATACCTGTTTTGAAGAATTCAGATCCAAGACTGAAGAGCTGGCTTTGAGCAGTGCAGCCTTTGGCCAGAGCTTGGAGAATGGGCAGCCGCAGCCTGGCCTCCACTTTTATACCCGCCACAGCCTGTGTGACATCAACACTGTGGAGGCCAGCAATCTCTGAGTTCTGAATTCCGCTCCATGTTGATCCCCATGGAAACAGAAAGGCTATTTCAATCACTGAATTCTAATGAGGCTTGGTTCAGGTTTTATTTTTCCCACAGAAACTGATAATCTGGGGATGACTGCCAATCAAAGGCAAGCTTTACGTTTCAACTAAAAAAAATACATGAAATAAAGTAAAGGGAGGGTTGCAGGGGGTGAGGGCAGGCCAATACCTAAAAATACCCTTCCATCTAAAATTTCTTGGGAGAAAGATGAGGCTTTCTGCTCCTATAAAGATTTACAGCCTCAGAAACCTTGTACAGGGTCGCTATGAGTCAGAACCGACTCCACGGCACATAATCATCACCACTACCACCCCAAAACTCAGAGTCCAGTGTGTCACTGTGGGATAAACACTGGACTGCTAACTGCAAGGTCGGCAGTTCAAACCATCAGCCAGCCGCTCCTTGGAAACCTTATACAAAGTTGCTGAGTCAGAACTGACTCAACAGCACTTAACAATAAATGAATGACTTAAAATTAGGAAAAGGTCTGCACCAAGGTTGTATTCTTTCACCATATTTATTTAATCTGTACGCTAAACAAATAAGACGAGAAACTGGATTATATGAAGAATGTGGTATGAGGATTGGAGGAAGACTCATTAATAACCTGTGATATGCAGATGATACAACCTTGTTTGCTGAAAGCCAAGAGGGCTGAAAGTAGTAATAAAGATCAAAGACCTTTGGTATGGGTTGCCCCTCAATGTAAAGAGAACAAAAATCCTCACAATTAGACCAATAAATAACATAAACATAAATGGAGAAAAGATTGAAGTTGTCAATGACCTCATTTTGCTTGGATTCACCATCAACATTCATGGAAGCAGCAGTCAAGAAATCAGACAATGTATTTATTCCATGAGGCAAGTCTGCTGTACAAGGCTTCTTTAAAGTATCGAAGAGCAAAGATGTCAGTTTGAGGACTAAAGTGTGCTTGACCCAAGCCATGGTATTTTCAGTATCCTCATATGTGTGTAAAATTTGGACAATGAATAAGGAAGACTGTAAAAGAATCGATGCATTTGAGTTATGGTGTTGGAAGAGAATATTGAAAGTGCCATAGACTGCCAGAAGATCAAACAGATCCGTGTTACAGACGTACAACCAGAATACTCCTTAGAAGCCAGGGCAGCCAAACTTTGAAAAAGGTGACCCCCAATGAAACAGGCTGGCACGGTGGCAGCAGCAATGGGCTTGAGTGTAACAATGGTTGTGAGGTTGGCGCGGGACTGGGCAGGGTTTCATTCTATTGTGCATAAGGTCACTATGAGTTGGAAGTGACTTGATGGCACCTAACAACAATACACACAACATACACACGGAGTGCGGTGAGTCTGTAGGATAAATACTGGACTGCAAACTACAAGATTGGCGGTTTGAACCCACCAAGTACTCTACAAAAGAAAGATGAGGCTTTCTGGTCCCACAGATTTGCAGCCCCAGTAACCTTGTACAGGGTCACTCTGACATGGGATCAACTGTATTTACTGTTGTTAAGTGCCATGGAGTTGGCTCTGACTCACAGCCACCCTGTATAGGGCTTATGAGGAATGACTAGTGGGTTTGATCCACTAATCTTACAATTAGTGCAGTGTTTATCCTACAGCACCACACCAGGACTCTTGGTCTCCTAATATAAGCACTGGACTGCTAATACATATTGTTGTTAAGTGCCATCGATATATATACTATATACAGGCACTCTGGTAGAGTAGTGGTTACGAATTGGGCTGCTAACCTCAGGGTCAGCAGTTCGAAACTACCAGCTGTTCCACGGGAGAAAGATGAGGCATTCTGCTCCTGGAGAGATTTACCTCTCAGAAACCCTGTACAGGGTCGCTATGAGTTGGAACCGACTCCACAGCACATCACAACAGTAACACACATAAACTATATGTTGTTGTTAAGTGCCTTTGAGTCAGTTCTGACTCATAGTGACCCTGTATAGGGTTTCCAAGGAGTAGCTGGTGGGCTTGTACCGCTGGCCGTGCGGTTCAAACCAATCTTGCAGTGCAGTGCATTAATCTGCAGTGGCCAAACCAGGACTTAGATACACCGTAATTTATCTTTCTTATCCTGAGAAAAATTAAGAAACAGAAAATTGGAAATTAGAGTTCTTTATTTACTTTTAGTGTGTATGTATAAATAATTCTGAGATTACTGAATCTAAGCATTTTATAAAATACAGTTCATGTGTGCTACTTAAGAGTCGTAGTGAGGCACTTTGTAAATCAATGAAAACCCACAACTACCAGTGGCTTACAGGACTGTTAGCTAAGGGGTTCCAGATACAGTGCTCCTGGAAACCAAAGACGATGCTCCCAAAAGCCAAAGGTAGTGCTCCCGGAAGCCAAAGGTGGTGCTCTCAAAAGCCAAAGGTAGTGCTCCTGGAAACCAAAGACGATGCTCCCAAAAGCCAAAGGCGGTGCTCCAGGAAGCCAAAGGTGGTGCTCCCAAAAGCCAAAGGTGGTGCTCCAGGAAGCCAAAGGCGGTGCTCCTGGAGGCCAAAGGCGGTACTCCTTGGTGACTGGTCATCAGGCAGGGCCCTCATGTCACTAAGCTCAGAGTGTGTGTCACAAAGCACAACACCCTGCAAGGTGACGGAAAGAACAAAGAAAGCTTGCTCTTAGTTGGAAGAGCTAAACTAACCAAAAGGTGAAAACACGCCTTTTCACAAAATAGACATTTACAGCAATTTACTAGGTGAATAATGAATAGGCACTAACTATATTGTTATTGCTATTGGAATTTTATGCTTAAAATACTTCATATTCATACGTCAAAAACTGTTAGGTGATAAAAAGATTTATAACTCAAGACAGGTCGTTTTCAGAATACATGCATTTATTTTCTAGATGCAAATATATTACCTTTGAAAACATATACAGTAGTTACAATTTCTGAACTTGAAGTCAGCCTGAGTGAAGTACCCTCGCCTCGACTCATCCACTGAAGAGTCTCAGCACTGCACATGTTACACATATGTGCCTCCCCACAGAAAAGCCAAGACTTCCTCAAGCTTTCAGAGTTACTGAGATGACCAAGACGATTCCTCCTATTTTACATCAAACACTAAATCCACAGGCACAAGACTAACAAGGGAGAGGCCAGCTCTGACCTTCACTGTTCCATCGCTGCTACAGTGTGACGGAACAAACGCTATTAACAGCGGCAGTGTGAACTAGCTTGACTCGTGCCAAACACTGCGGCTAATCATCTGAGATAAAAATAGAGAATGTAAGTGGAACCGGAAATTGAAGGTTCCAAGTCGTAGGTATCCAATTTTCTAACAGCAATCAAGTAGAAACAGCAAAAAATACCAAATACCGTAAGCATTAGTATATAAACCCATGAAACTATGAAGGTCTTTGTATAAATAAAAAAATAAAAAAAAAAACCCAAAAAACTCCAATCACAAATATACAGTACAAGCTAACAAACGGCAATTGAAATTCTTAAAAAAATATTTAAACATTTAAATAACACAAAAGTATACATAAATTTCTGGGAAAGTTGAAAAATATTGCTGGCAAAAATCATGTGTGGCCCAACCATGTTTGTTGACTCTTAGTGTGCAATACTGGATTTACAAGAATGAGCGCTGTAAAAACAACCACTGAGGTCAGTTTAGCTAAGGTGACGATCCTTCCAAGGACATGGCAAGCTGGCACTTGCCTCCCACACAGTTTTTAGGTTCTGGCTTTGGCGTGTGTACAGGTAATAAATATTTGTAGTATACGGTACAGGTGAGCACTTATCTTTCTCCATTTGAAAGTCTTTCTCCAGAATCATATTGTCTTAGAGGCATCCCAGGGGTCACGGAGTTAGAACTTTGCAGCAAGTTCATTAATAATGCAATCTTATTATCTAAGTGTTCCTGGAGTTTACATATTCGCTGATCGATGTAGTCTGTGAGGTTCTTTTCCATCAGTTCCATATTTTTAGAAAGAATCTTTTCCAAGTAAGAGCAAACAGGTTGTTCTTCCACTCTACAAAAACAACAAAACAACAAAAAACAAAAAGCCAGAACCAATTATAACCAAGTTTACAAGACTGAACATACATTACTGATCCTTTTCTCTAATATGATACTGTTTTCTCATCACATATTTTCAGGTTTTGACATATGAGGGGGCTTCAAAATGTCTGTGGGAAAATTTCATTATCTTTGAATTCCATTTTTCTATGAACTTCTTAACGGCCTCCAGCACATGCAGGAGCCCTAGTAGCACAGTGGCTAAAGCGCTCGCTGGTAACCAAAAGGTTGGTCAGCTGGTCACCCTGAACTGCCCACCCTGCTGTCCAGTGCAGGAACCCACAGTGCGACAGCAGGACTTAAGCACCGGTCTGCTAGTTTAAAGTAATCTTAGTTTTCTTTCATTTGAGAATGTTTTATTCCCCTTCATTCCTAACGTGCATCTTTGCTGGACACTGATTTTGGACAACTGTGTCTTTCAGTGCTGGACCAGGTACCATTTCCTGCTGTGCTCTGGGCTCTGAGTGAAAAGTCAAGCTGGCATTCTTCTATCGGGCTATGTCTGAACGTCTTTTCGCTGTAACGTCTTTCTGGAATTTAGTTGTCAGATTATGATGTGCCTTGGCGCGGGCTTTTCTTTCTGCTGAGTTTATAAGCTGATGCCTTTCATTAATCTTGGGACTTCTCGGGCATTATTTATCCAAGTGCGTTTTCTGCCCCACACTCTGTCTTCTCCTTCTGATACCACCCTGGCCAGGAAATCAAAGCACCACCTGATTCCATTGGGCTCCAGATGGAAGTCCCTTGCTTGATCTTGCCAACACCATCCTGTCCTGGTAACTGAAGTATCCCAACTGAGTGGGAGATGGAAGACCAGCTTCCGGCTTGGCCCTGCTGAGACCACCCAGACAACAGAAGCTATCCGCTTCCTCTGAGTGCACATGGAACATCATTTCCCCAGGTGGCTTGTTGAGATCACCCTGGAAACCACAAGTCGCTACCGTTTTCCACGTGGTAATGGGTTGTTGTTCTTAAATGCCACAGAGTTGGCTCTGACTGAGCAACTCTGTGTAGGGTTTCCAACGATTGGCTGCTGAGTTTGACCTGCTGACCTCGTGGTTCAAAATGACCTTGTGGTCCAGTGCTTATCCTACAGTGTCATGCCAGGACTCCTGGTACTTTCATTGAAGTTTGGCTGGAAGAGGGCATATACTATAAAAGTGTTTTTGCCAGTCCCTTGGCAAGCAGGAACAGACTCTGCTTGGAACGTTTATTTCCTGTGTCTACTGGCAGTCTTCTGCTATTCATAAGGTTTTCACAGTGTCTACATATTTGGAAGTAGTTCATCTCCCCTTCTTCCTAGTCTGTCTTCATCTGGAAGCTTATCTGTCCACCCTGGGTGACCCTGCTGGTATTTAAAGTACCCATGGCATAACTTCCAGAATCACAGCAACTCACAAGCCACCCTAGGACATACTGACAGATGAGTGGAGACATTTCTCAATGTAAAGACAACAAAAATCCTCACCACGGGACCAATAAACAACATTCTTATTAATGGAGAAAAGATGGAAGTTGTCAAGGACTTCATTCTTCTTGGATCAACTATCAACATTCATGGAAGCAGCAGTTAAGAAATCAGAGGACATATTACATTAGGCAAATCTGCTGCACAAGACCTTTTTAAAGTGTTGAAGAGCAAAGATGTCAGTTTGAGGACTAAGGTGCACCTGGTATTTTTAATAACCTCTTATACATGTAAAAGCTGGACAGTGAATAAGGAAGACTGTAGAAGAACTGATGCATTTGAGTTATGGTGCTGGAGGAGAATATGGGCTGCCAAAAGAACCAATAGATCTGTTTTGGAAGAAGTGCAGCCAGAGTGCTCCTTGGGGGCCATGATGGCCAAACTTCATCTCTCATACTTCAGACATATTGTCAGGAGGGACCAGTCGCTGGAGAAGGATATCATGTTTGGTAAGATGGAGGGTCAGAGAAAAAGAAGAAGACCCCCAGAGAGATGGATTAGCAAAGTGGCAGCATCAATGGGCTCAAGCGTGGCAACAATTGTGAGGTTGGCCCAGGACCAGAAAGTTTCGTTCTGTTTGCATAAGGTTGCTATGAGTCAGTACCAACTCCTTGGCACCTAACAACAACTGGCAGTCCTGGGTTCCAGGTTTCTCTGGTCCCCATCTGGAATATATATGGGAGGCAAAAACTCCTCACCAACATGTGTTTTATCAACTCCCAATGTTCTCAGGCAGTTTGCCTGTTTTCCACATTCTAGATCTTTACTTCTTTGTTGTGTTATGTCTATCCAGGGCTTTGATGGCTAAACCAGAGGACCTGGAAAGAATGGGGTAACTCCAATTTGACTGTAACTGCAAGTGACCCAAGCAACCTTCACTAGCTGTTTAGTTGTTTTCTGCCATCACACATACTAACCAGTTATCGTTAAAAGACTATCAACAGTTGAGAATAATGTTACCTTTCTATATCTTTATACCAGATAAGAACTACATTTCCCAGTGACTTACTAAACTCTTGCCATTGTCAAGTGGTTTCGAGTCAATTCTGACTCATACTGACCCTGTATCGGGTTTCCGAGGCTGCAAATCTTTTACCCCAAAAAGTCTCCTCTTTCTCCAGGGAAATAGTGCTTATCCCAGCTGAACTTCCTCATTTTACAGATGAAAAATTCTATCAAACTTCAAAAACGTACGAGAAAGCCAGGAGCGAGATGGATGATGTTGTGAAGTGCCGTGGAGTTGTCCAGCCCATTGCAATCCTGTATAGGATTTCCGAGGAGTGAATGATGACCTTGAACCGCCGACCTTACGGTTCAAAGCGACTATGAAAAAGTCCTGAATTCTAGGCTAGTACACTCTGGTAGCGTAGTGGTTACAAATTGGGCTGCTAACCTCAAGGTCAGAAGTTCGAAACTACAAGCTGTTCCGTGGGACAAAGATGAGGCTTTCTGCTCCCGTAAAGATTTGCAGCCTTGGGAGCCCTGTACAGGGTTACTATGAGTTGGAACCGACTCCATGGTACTTAACAACAACAGTACACTAACCACACGGAGTCCTGGTGTGGTACTGTAGGTCAATACACTGGACTGCAAAGCCTGTTTGAACTAAAGGTCGGCAGTTCAAGCTCATCAGTTGCTCCTGGGAAACCCTACACAGGTTTGCTATGAGTTGGAACTGACTTAGTAGCACTTAACAACAAATAACAACACACTAACTACACACTCAGTGGTTTCAACTCAACAGCTCCTCTAAGGGAGACTTATAAGGCTTTTGCGACCATAAAGATTTACAGTCTCGGAAATCCTATATTGCTTAGGAACCTACTCAATAGCACACAGCCACCACTGCCACACGTTGTTTTACGACTTTGTTGTTGTTTTTACTTTCAAGTCAGTTCTGACTCACAAAATGGCATTTCAGAGGAGCAGATGGTGGGTTTGAATCATCAACCTTGCGCTAGAAATCCTGTGTTTATCCAATACTAAGCCACTTCTCAGTCTAACTTGGATTGCATAAAAACTGGGATCCTGAGATCAGAAAGTAAGGCCTGAATACTACAATAACTTACAATCTTCAAATGTTTTTTGGTTATTCTAAAATTAGCCTAGGATGAGCATCATTTACAAAGAAAATCTGATGCAAGGACCCACTTAGCACAACCAAGCAAAAACGCACAGATCATATTCCCAAGCCTCCATTCATGGAGTTAACTTTCTGCTCCAATGCTTACCAGGCGTTGGTACCCCTTTTCAAAAAAAAAATCCCTGAGAAGTGTCAATACCTCAGGTCTCATACGCTTGCTTCATTTCAAAGCAATCCATTTTACTATGAAGAGTATTTACCCTCCAAAAGTTCGAGGGGGGTTCAAAAAAATCTGTGGGAAAATGGCATCAAAAGGTAATGTAATTTTTCTACCATCTTTTCGAAGCCCCCTTGTATATTAATAGTAAAAATGTAAAAGCTCCTAAGAGGCTTTCCAGAAGTTGATTTGGGGACAGTGCCACCACCACTCATTAAGATCTATCTGGTTCCCTTCAGCTGACTCTCCACCCACATTGAAACTGTCTGTCTTCAAATAAATACATACCCAACACCGACGACGCCTTCACGGGGCTTGGTAATCTTCTCCTGCCACTCAGTCTTATTGCCCACCCGGAGATGGTTAACTTGACTACATAAATTCTGAAGAAAAGGAAGCAAGTCAGAGCTGGGGATATCTGAGTTGCCACTTGCTTTCTTTGGTAAGAAGGAGGAAATTGCATCTTGAAGACGACTGTCAAGCAGAGCCTGGCTTTGCAGCACACTGCCACACTCATGGGGGTCTGAAGGGTCCCCTCCACCTGGAGGCCATACATTTTTATCAGGGTCAGCTCTGACGTCGTCAGGCACTTTTCCAGGTGTCAATCCAGTTCGAAACGGAAAAGGTGTGAAGGGTGACTTGTTTAAGGCTGCTAGAGTAGGTACTGACTGTTGTCCAATCATAAGCTTGTCTCCAGTATTTCCCAGAACAGACTGAAGCTGCTCTCCTAAGGGCATGTAATTCTACACAAGGGGAAGAAGAAAATATTATTATTAACCATGGGAACGAACTTTTGAGTAAATGCTACACGCCAGGCACTGTGAATCCTCCCATCTGACACCCTTAAGAAGTAGGGTCTACCCCACAATTCAGTGGAGGAGATCAAGGCTAACATGACCTGGTCAAGGTAACACACCTACGAAGAGGAAGAATGGCAACTTGAACCAAGCCACCCAACTCCAGCGTGAGAACTTCTGATCACTGTACTGTAGTTTTACCTAAAGGAAACATTAAAAACTAGTAGCATGCTTACAAAAATGGCATTGGCAAACTTGAATAATTTCATTAACCTGATTTTGACTTAGCGATCCATGGGTCAGAGTACAACTGCCCCGGAGGATTTCCAAAGCTACAAATGCGTATGGAAGCAAACAGCCACATCTTTCTCCCACAGATTTTCACTAAAAAAATGTCTTAATTTGTAGTAATAACCTTTACTTCTCTTACATGAGCAATAGCGAGCAGTAGTTTTATTAGAATTACATCAGTCCTCAACAGTCAACATATGGTAAGCCAATCATTTTTGCTGCACTACCATTTTTGCAACTAGTTTACAGAGGCCACACCAGAGTCATGCTTCTTAAAGATGGATACTCTCTGATACATTAGTACATTTCTGATGACTAAAACGAACTGTCTCCTAGTGGTTCTAAGACTGCAGAATATCACAGTGTTATGCTCTGTGGCTTCAACGTTAACAAGCAATGAAATATTATTTCCTTCGAAGCTCTGGCTCACCTTTGAGAAAAAGTTATAGTCTTCTGCTTGTCCATGTATGCTCTTCAATTTTTATATGGAAAAGGTAAAATGATCTCTCGCATAGTTAACTGTTAAGGAATGTGGTTCTATCGTAAATTCAAACCAGCCTGCACATCTGTCCCCATCAAGAGGCATCAAACCACTTTCCTGCTGCTCAGCAGCTGCTCAGACAGCCAAGTGGCTGAAGGTCTGTGATGGCACTGACGGGTCGGAGAGAAGGGCCCAGGTCAGTGGAGTCATCAGGGAGGTCTCATTGCAGCTGAAATTTGAATGTGCAGAGCGCAGAGGTCCAGGAGTAGCAACAACTCTGGGGATTTAAAATCACACATGAGAATGTCTGGAGCGGGTGCACACAGGAGATGTGGCAGATGAGGCTGAGGAAGCGGGCCAGGCTCAGCTCACCGAGGGCAGATGGGAAATCTGGATTCTTTCTGAGTGTGATGGCAACAGTCAGGGGGAGGCGGGGTTTGCCCTACCGCTTGAGCTCATTCTGGCTGCACTGTAGGAAATGGACTGTGATGGACAGAAGTCCAGTTAGGAGGCCCCCGAGGCAGTGAGTAGAGGTCATGGTGAGGCGGAAAGAAAGCAGATCTCTCCACTGTCAGAAACTCTCCTTTGCAGAGCTTCCGTGGCCACCAGCTGTCCTGCTTCTCCCAACTCTGCTCATTGTTTCCATGAAAACAGTACTAAATTGCTACTTGTAAATAGCACAAAGGCTGCAAAGAGTTTTTTATTTGTCCTATTTCTCTTTTAAAATTTAATTTATTGGGTGAAATATGGTAACAAAACATTTTAACCATATTTAAACTTACAATTCTGTGACATCAATTACGCACATTTGTACTGTTTGTGTTCTTTTTAAACTCACATTAACCTTGTGGTCTAAGCAGTAACAGCATTTCTTTAGACTTCATACTCGAGGAAATTCATCCTTTAAAAGACCAATTAACTTGCCAAAAACCACGGAATTCATCACTTTGCAGTCCTCGTGTGGGGCTGTGGGCTGAAGTACTGGAATGCAAGGTCAGTTAGAACCACAAGGTCGGTGGTTCGGTTCAAACTCACCAGTTGCTTCTTGGAAACCCTCTACAGGGTGACTATGAGTTGGGACCGACTCGACAACACTAACAACAAACATCAAATCTCTTCTCTTGTCACTCTATCACAATGCCATCATCTACTCTTATGCTTCCTTTTCCCACCCAGCAGCAGCTCCGTGGGAGAAAGAGGAGGCTCTCTGCTCCCATAACGAATGAAGCAGTTCTACTCTGTACTATACGTGGGGCCGCTATGAGACAGGACCTGACCACAGCAGTGGGGCTCTGTTTGGTTTTGGTATCCTGCCAAAATGCAGCTACTCTCCAAGGCATTTGCTTCATTCTCTCCCTTCCCGTGTTCCTGGTCACCTACTATGGGCCCAGCTCTCAAAATCCCCTCCAGCACACCTCAAGGGAGTCCTGTTCAACCTTCTCCAGTCCTGTGTTTTCAAATGCTGTAAGGTTTCTTTCCAGGTAATGTTTCGCTCACAGCTCACCCAACTCACTCCACCCCAGATTAAACTCCTTTTCTTGCATCCCATTTTGCCATTACTCAGTGTGTTGACAAGGTGACTGTTTCAGTATCTCACCATCCAGCCTGTTACTGTTTCCAAGTTCAAACCCTCATTAGCTCCTATCTGGGTTAAGGAAGTAACTGTGTAGCTGGTCTCTTTCTTGTAGGTTCACATTCTTATGATTCACTTTATACCTAACAGTGAATTAGAATTTCTTAAACAAAGCTCCCGCGGGAGAAAGATGAGGCGTTCTGCTCCCGTAAAGATTTACAGCCTTGGAAACCTTGTGCAGGGTCACCATGAGTCGGAACTGACTCCACAGTACTTAACAACAACAACAAAACAAAACTCAACAACATCTACAAACTTCTAAAAGATTATTCAAAGTCCCATGTGATTTATTCCCAATCTAACTTGAAGCTTCCCCTTTTTTGTTCCCCGCACAATGAATTTCTATTTCCTAGTTAAGGGTCTTATCCATTCCAATCTCTATGTCTGGAGTTGCCCCCTCCAAGTTCACTTGCCAAACCTTTCCTCTTCAAAGGTCTAAATAACTTGTCACTTCCTTCAGGAGGCTTTTCCCATTCACTCAGCCTTCACATTTACAAGGGAGCTTCAAAAAGTTTGTGGGGAAATGGAATGAAAAGATAATGGAATTGTTCCAAGAACTTTTCGAAGCTCCATTGTCGTACATTGGCTAACTCGCCTAGTGAGACTGTAAAGACCCTCAAAGACAGACTATGAACTAATTATGGGAGGAGCTCTGCTGCAAACCTCACAGTCAGCTGTTCGAAACTACCAGCTGTTCCGCAGGAGAAAGATGAGGCTTTCTGCTCCCGTAAAGATTTACAGGCTCAGAAACCCTAAGCAAGGTCACTGTGAGTCGGAACCAACTCATCACCACCATTAACTAATTAACCATTTTCACATGCTCAAAAGTGCTGAAATCACTAAGACAGTGCCTAAGAAATGTTTGCTGAACGAATGAGTGGAAGAGTTCCTGGAAAACTGAGATGATCTGTATTCAAAACATTTTATGAAACGGGAGGCATACAAAATTCTATTTTTACAAAACTAATGATAGATAACAGGTAAATCAATAATAAAATTCAAAGATAAAATTCTAAGTCACTGCCTATCTTTATTAAAAGAAATTTGTTGGGCTCTTTTGCAATAATATCTAGTAAGAATTCCATTTCGACTTACCTGCTGTTGAACCCTAACCATATTCATCAGCTGTTGGGCTCCTGGCGATAACTTGGAGCCAATGGATTCCACGATGGTTTGCACCCTGCCGAGATCTATCCTCGATCCTAGAGCAGGACAGCTTGCTGCAGAACTTGCTGAAGCCGGTCTCATGTGTACCACAATTTTACTAACGAACACATAGTGCTTTTCACCAAAGGAGAGCAACTATTAGAAAGAAAAGTTCCTTAAATAACGGTTTTAAACACTAGTTGTTACTTCAGGGTCACTCTTTATATTAACCACACACGAAGGAAGCACAGAGGAACTTTAAATACAGCTTCATTTTTCAGTGTGCTGCCCTACAACAGCAATTGTCCGAGCTTCCCACTGACTGCGAAGCTGAGGAGCTAGTTAAAATTCAGCAAAGTCTTTTTCGGGAGTTCTCGGGTAGTGTTACAGGATAAACACTCAACCTCAAGGTAGGTTTGAACGGCAAGGTTGATGGTTCAAACTCACCAGCTACTCCTTGGAAGCCCTATATAGACTCACTATGAGTCGGAATGGACTCGATGGTACTTAACAACAACAACAACGTCCTTTTCAAACTGAAAAATGACAAAGTAGGAAAGGGTTAAAATACAGGTCTGCGCTGACATCACTGACTATACAGTTAGGCTGACGAGAGCCCTCCAAAGCATTTACTGAAATATTAAAAATTAGTCTTTTTGTATTTAGAAATTACAGAGAGAATGCTAAGATGATCTAATATAAGTGTGGCTGGCTTACACATAAAAAAAAGATGAGGTTGGGCTGATTTTCTAACCTGTCAGAGGAGACCCAACTTGGAAAAGTAGGCCTGGCGCCCAGCTCAGCTAGCTTCTATCCTAGCAGGTCTTTCTAGCGCCGTTACAGCTGCCTCACTTCATCCAGGCTCCTGAACCCAGACATCGCATGTCTGCTACGGACAGCAGAGGAGCAAAGCGCTAAGGGAACAGGCTTTTGAATTAGACAGTCCTGGGTTCAAAACATGGTTCTGCTACTTTTGAACCCTGTAATCCTGGGCAACAGCCACAACCTGAGTCAGGAGTCAAACGAGGGAGGATGTTAACAGTGATTTCACATGGGAGTGCCGAGTACGTACTCCAAGCCACGCATCACTGTGGTTATTTTAATTCTCACACACTATTGCCCTAAAACAAGGAGCCGAGGTGGCATATTGGCTTATGTGTTGGGTTGATAACCACTAAGTCATTAGTTTAAATCCACCAGCTGCTCTATGAGAGAAAGATGAAGCTTCCTGCTATTGTAAAGATTTACAGCCTCTCAGAGGGTCACTCGGAGTCAGAACTGACTTGATGGCACACAATCACAATGACCACCATTGCCCTAAACCAAGCTTTAGTATGCCTGATATACCTAAATGAAATGGCTCTTTGTACTACCATAGAACAGTTACAAAACCATTCAGCTTCAGAGATACTCTCAGACTTGCACGTCAGACAAAGACTCAGGTCAACCAGTCCCACGACCAAAGAACTCTGTTGCGTGGTACCAAGGAGATGAATGGCCTCGAAGATGACCACTTCAGTGCATTTTAATTCACCATCAAAGAAACATCTCATTATTTAAGCCCGTGTACTACCTCTCTCCCCTGGCTGACACTACCTAAAACAACATCTTACAATCACTTCTAAAAAAAGTCTACTGTCGGCTTGCTTTGAAAATCACTTTTATTTTAAAGAGAAGTCATGTATTCCTCGATGAAAGAATGACAGTAGGCACAGAATTTTAAAGATTCCAAGAATCTAAGGATTTAATTTCTTCAGCCCACACCCATTTTTACCATCAGGTGGGTCCAAAAAGGTAAAGGGATTTGCCTAATCTACTCAGCTAGTCAGCAACAGAGTTGAATTCATGTACTGAGCTTGCTAGCTCAGTATTCACTCCCTAGCCTGGTGACATCCCCTGGCTAGAAGAAGACACCAGTCCAAATGTGGTTGTTTGTTAACTTTGCTTGTAATTTCCTAATACTGTTCTAGCTTTCTTGATGCAATGGCACCAAAGCTGTTAGTGCTTTTCTCGGCACCACAAATTTCATATAAAAATAGAATGCTGTTTTTCCTTGAATGATGTCCCAGGATTTCAAAACACAGTCCCTCAGCATTAACTACCATATTCAAAACATAGTCCCTCAGTATTAGAGTATTAGATGCCACTGAATTGGTTACAACTTAGAGCGACCCTATATAGGGTCCTTTTTGTGGCGCTGTAGGATCAGCACTGAATTGTGAACCACAAGGTCGGCAGTCGAAGCTTACCAGCTGCTCCTTGGAACCAACTCGAAGGCACTAACAACAACATGAAGTTGCTGAGGCTGCACACCATTGCAGGAGTAGATAGCTTCATGTTTCTATTGTAGACTGACTGGTGGGCTCGAACTACTGACCCTGTGGTTCGCAGTCTAGTGCTTATCCTACAGAACTAGCATGAAAGTTTATGATGTTGTATTTCCATAACTAATAAACGGTCAAATTGTAAGAGAAGATTCTTTTTCTATGTCCACTAAACATTTCTGAAATAAACCTAAGGACTAAGTTGAACGAATTGCATTACTAAACTAACAGAAAAAATACATGTCCAATGGGGTTTCAGAAAGTTTGTGGAACAATGGGATCAAAAGATAATGGGGAAAAAAAAAAGATAATGGAAGTTTGTCACTAACTTTTTGAAGCACCGTGTATATTATGCAAAAAACATTTACAGTGGTCAAGTTAGTTAAAATTTTGTGGTAACTCACCTTTACTTTACAAGCATGTGTGGAGGATTCCAATTTTAAATATTTTTTGTACAAAATAATCTTCTCAGGTTCGCTAAAAATAAAAGAATTTAAAAAAAAGTTTTTTTTTTAAAACTTTGATTGTGAACTGAGTGAAGGTTTACAGAGATCATCAGTTTTACAGTCAAAGAGTCACTTAACTTCGTTTCATTTCAAAGACTACAATCCCCTCTGTGAAGCAGCAGGTTCCCCTGTTCGTGTGGCATCACACCCTCTCTGTGGCTCTTGTTTCCATTCCACCCTCCTTTCCAGTCCTGAACTTGGTCCTTAGGCAAATACTGACTCCCCCCGCCTTTTTTTTTTTTTTAAAGAAATAAAGATGTCTAAAGATAAAGGTTTCTACATAAAGACTTACATCCTGAGATAGTAGGTCTGTCGACACACAGAATTAGGCTCTCTAGTCAAGTGACCTGGCCACTGGCCACTGAGTCTGCCACAGTGCGAGGCTCCAAGGACAACCACGCAGCTCTGATCATATTGCAAAAGCTTAATAAACGTAGCTATTACTTCCACTATGCATAACATATCAAACAGTTGTTATTCTGAGTTATGTAAGGAGAGTCCGGGTGTGGTACTTAGAACAAACACTGGACAGTGAACTGCAAGGGCAGCAGTTCAAACCCACCAGTCACTCCTCAAAATCCCTATGAGCTGGAACTGATTTGACAACACTTAACAACAAGATGGAGAGTTTAGGGTAGAATCTTCCTGTAAGAGGCCAAAGAAAAGATTAAACAGGCTAGTGTGGAACTAGCCTTAGAATCATGATCACTTACGATGGGCTTCCTACAGAAACATATGTTCAAACTTGATTGATAAATTAATTCTTGGGAACAGGACCACTGTGAGTAAGTACTATAGTATAAGAAAGGTACTACGCCTAGAGAAGTCCTGAGGTGACGCCGCAGGGTAATGCACTGGACCGTAAGGTTGGTCTGAACCACAAAGTCGGTGGTTCAATTTTACCAGCCACTCCTCAGAAACCCTATACAGGGTTGCCATGAGTCGGCACCAACTCGACAGCACTTAACAACTATGTCTAGATGCTTTCACTGACCAGCTCTGACCTACAAACTCATCTCTCCTCTTTAAGTTTTAAGTGTGTATACTGATAAAACTTAGAAAGCTGGTCAAGGCTTTCTCAAGATCGCTAATTTTCTAAAGGGCTAGGCCTGCTGGTATATTTTTTCCTTCTCTCCCCTAAAGTCTGCCACCAACGCCAGAGAATCAAGAAATATTGCAAAATATACTACTGCAAGCGTAAGTCACACACCTGTTATCCAGGACAGTACAAACATTCCTGCCCCTACTGGTTCCAAGGTACTCCTCTCCTAAGTACACTTCCATATTTCTTGCTGAACTTAAAATGCCCAAAGACACGATTTCTTCACCTCCATTAGGGTCACAGGTCAGGTAAAGGAAGCAGGGACTTTCTTCTTGGCTGCTCAGGTTCCTCTTCAATATCATCAGATCCTGGCTGAAAACAACACAAAATGTTAAAACTATGACATAGTAGTTCTCAGAAAACTGCAGAGCAGTGTTAACTCACTTGTTAGACCATAACCCCAGTGCCAGGGTAGAACAGGGCAAGAACTACTTAATAGCATTCCCAAGGCTGTAAATCACTACTGAAGCAGACTGCCACATCTTGGGGATGGGGGTGGAAGGGCTGGGGGTTGGGACTGGTGGTTGGAACTATGACCTTCATCTAAAGCCAAGTGTTTAACCAATGTGTCACCAGGGTTCCTAGTTAGGCCAGAGGGGTAGTATTTCATCTAACTCGTTTTTCATATGAAGTCCAAGAATCTGGCCAAGGACCCAACAAACAATACAGAACTTCTAAGGAAATCACAGCTTCAGGTAAGTTTACTCCTAGGTCCTCTACTCAATCCCTTCTAATTGGTTCTCAGTTCAAGTAAATGTACTTGACTCAAAAACCGTAAATCTTTACTGTAGCAGACAGTCTCATCGTTCTAGGTGGAGCAGCTTGTGGGTTTGAACCAGATACCTTGAGGTTAGCACTCCAACACTAAACCACTATACCACCAGGGCTCCTTTTAGGAACCAATCGGAAAGGGAGTGGGGAGGTGTAGAATACTATAAAAACAAAAGTATATCTTATCCAAAATTAAGTTGATAGAGGTTCTCTATGAAGCCAATAGCAAAACCCCAAAAGCATGTCCACTGAATCCATTCCAATTCCTACAAGGCCGACGTGTTGCAGAGTAGAGCTGCGCTCCACAGTGTCCAAAGCCAGGAGCTTTGGAAAGGAAGCCCAGGTGGCGCCATGGTTAAGTGCTCAGCTGTTCACCGAAAGATTTACAGGTGGAACCCACCAGCTGGAGCAAGATGAAGCAGTCTCTTTGGAAACTATGGGGCAGTTCTACTCTGTTCTGTAGTGTTTTAAGCACGGAATCCGCTCACAGGAAATGTCTTTTGTTTTGTTTTGAATTGGATCTTTTGGAAGCAGATCCCCAAGCCTTTCTTCCCAGGGGCCTATGGCTACTTTATTTGTTTCGGGGTGGAGTGGGGTGCAGAAGCTGATTTCTGATTCTCACAAAGTCATGATTAACGTTAAGGAGTGTGGCAGAGAAGCCTCAGTGTTCGCGCCCCCTCCACGCCCCGGAACCCCCCTCTCCCTCCCCCGCCTGCCGACCCCGCCCCACGCCCTCAGGGCCGCCTCGGTCCTGTCCCACCGCACAGATCTGTCGCCAGCTACTGGGTCCCGGCCCCCACCATCTCCGCTCAACACCCGCTTCCTCCGCACGGTCCCGCAGAAGCGTGGCTGTCACCGAGCGGAGGGAGCAGCCTCAGTCCCGGCCGGCCAGACACACCCCGGGGCAGGCGGCGCCAGCAGCTCCTCCCAGTCGAATTCCCCGGCGCCGAGACCACCCCGGCTGAGAAAGAGGTTCTGGCTCAGGGCCCCGCACGGCGCATCCCAGGAAGAAGCCAAAGTTGGGCGGCGAGTCAGTCCCGGGTCTTCGGTCCTGGCCTCCATCCCGCCGCCTTCTGCCCTGACAAGGCCGGAACTTCTCTTCTGGAGCCCGAGTTTCCGTCAGTGCAGCGTTGAATATAGGAAGCAGGTAACTTCCGGCTTCAAACCTAAGACTCTCCGCTTCTCTCTACTGCCGGGAGAAATGAGAACGCCGGAACCCACCTGCTCTATATACGCATGCGCATGATGTATGGCGTCAGGAACCGGGTCAAAAGCTTCGGAGAGTAAATCAAGGGAAGAGCATGCGCAACTCGTAGCGCTGCTGAGGCTTTGGCGCACGCGCGATGCGGTGCACGTGGGATTGTAATCGTTTTTTCGTCGTTGACTGGGGAGGAGTACTACAGACCTTGCGGACGACGGTTGTTGAACGGTTCCGGAGTGTTGGTCTGATGAGAAGAGTGTGTACGCAGGTTGTTGTGGTCTTGATGCTCCACGCGACGCGCAAGACCCCTCTTCCTGACCTCCGTTTTTTCTCGCGTCAACTGCAAGAGTCTTTGCTCCTTGGAACCAAAGGAGTGGGCAGGCGCAGGGCAATCCCCTCTGCGGCCTATGGGGCCGGGAGAGCGGATCTGGCGACGCACTGGGTTATTCTGACTCGTTAGTCCCCCATATGGTGTCACTGACTGGCGGATAGTGTCTGATGAAGATTTGAGACTTGCCGAACCTTTGTGGGGTCGCCATCATAGCTCATGCAAAACTGATCTGTTGGATGGATGGAAACGGGTAGTCTTAGGCCACAGTAACCCGGGTGTCCAAGGGATGCCCTTGGTTATGAACAATAGAGCTTGTGAAAACTCAGAATCTCTGAAACCAGCATAACTTCCCTGGCCTTGAGGCAGATAGGGCAGAAACAAGCCTCACAGGTGGTGTTTACTGTGTGATTACAAACCCACCACCACCACATTCTTTAGAGTCGTTAATCAACCATGTACCTCAAGGACCCTTGCACCATTATAACTGATTTATAGTCTTGTTATTCAACCTATGTAAACGGGTTTATGGCCTTGGTATTTGAACTCATGGGTCGCACTGACCCAATTAATTGTTACCTAGTATTTCTGGTAGCGTAGTGGTTACGAATCGGGCTGCGAACCTTAAGGTCAGCGGTTCGAAACTACCAGCCGCTCCGCGGGAGAAAGATGAGGCTTTCTACTCCCGTAAAGATTTACACCCTCGGAAACCCTGTACAGGGTCGCTATGGGTCGGACCCGACTCAATGGCACTTAACAAAAACAAGTATTTCTGTGAGCTAACCCGCAATTTTTGCTTCTATACTCCCAGCTTCAGCAAAATTCCTTTAGATAAGCCCCTAGACCCCAGCCAAGAATTCAGCATATATAAACTAGCAGTCATCTCCCTACAGCACGGCAGGTTTAAGAGAATCCATTGTCTCCCTGCCGTCTGCCTATAGCTGCTGTGCTATATTGTTATATAAGTTGGACGTTATAGTGGTCGTCATCCTTCTTTGGGATTCGAACCCGTAACAGTTACAGAAATCTGAAAGTGGAGCTTCTGGGGTCTGTTCTTCCTGACACTGGGAAGAGCATGATAGAGCAAGGGGCAGTTGAGGTAACCTGGACTTGAAGACCGTTGTTGTTGTTGTTAAGTGCCGTCGAGTAGGTTCCGACCCATAGCGACCCTCTATAGGGTTTCCAAGGAGCAGCTGGTGAGCTTGAACCACCGACCTTGCAATTCAAACAACTTTGCAGTCTGGCGCATTAAAATGGAGTGAGATGGGACTTTCCAGACTCTGCCCAGTAAGATGGCAGATGGCACACTTCCCTCTCCTTCGTTGCCATTCCCACCTTTTGAAACAGAATTGGAAAATAGGTTGAAAGCAAACTGGGATATCAGCATTCTCCAAAAGATTTCTCGCCATTTTATTTGTAGTGGTACTGTCTCTAGAAGATAGTAAGAGTTTGTGTTCTCTTACAGACTGTTTGTATTTCTTGGTGGTGGTTGGTGGTTATATGCTGTGGAGTCGATTTTGACTCACAGCGACCCTGTATAGGGTTTCCGAGGTTGTAAATCTTTCGGGAGCAGCTGCTGGTTTCACTGCTGACCTTGAGGTTAGAAGCCCGATTGTAACCCCTAGGCTACCAGAGCTCCTTCTTGTTAAGTATCACGGAGTCAGTTCCGACTCATAGTGACCCTGCACAGGGTTTCCGAGGCTGTAAATCTTTACGGGAGTAGACCGCCTCATCTTTCTCCCACGGAACCGCTGGTAGTTTCGAACTAATGGTCTTAAGTTTCGCAGCCCGATTCGTAAGCACTACTCTAGCGGAGTTCCTCTTTACTTGATATTTTACCCTCACGAAAACAGCATGTAAGATTGGGCAGTTGTTTAGATCTCTTATACAGTAGCTCGCCACTATGAGTCTGAGCGGACTGGTCATCGCAGAGACTTTTTAGGAACTTGTTTGAGTTCTCTGTGCTAGTAAGTATTGGAACCAGGATTGTAGTTTTCCCTCCCAGTACTGCTTCAGCAAATGAAATAAAATCACAGAAGATGGAGCTGAGATCTCAGCTGGCCTGTTTCTTCCTTGATGGTCCTTGAGGGGGATGTAAAATGCCACTTTGCATTTTGGCTCAAGTCTGCCCACTCATATCTACCTGGGTCATCAAAGTAATAAGAGGTGTCTGAGTTGGCATCTATCAGCACTCAGACAACTCTGGAGTTTTTCTTCTATATAAAAATAGTGACATGTTTACAGAGTTCCAGGTATGGTTCTAGCAGCTTTCTTATGCTGTGTTTAATCCTCAAAGCAGCCCTTCTAGGTATGCATGAACATGGCCTTTCCATGCAGGAAAGCTGCTCAAGGTCATACGGATAATGTCAAGGGGAACTGGGATTCAGGGCCTTCCCTGATGCACTGCAGCCCCTACCTCTGTTCAGAGGGGAATTACAACTCCCTCCCAGGGTTCTTGAGAGCATAAAATGGGATCTTTTACTGTGTGGGGCTAGTCCATATGCAAGGTGGTGATTATGTGCCCAGGGAGTCAGTCAGTTCCCACTCATAGCAGCTCAGTATAGGGTTTCCGAGGCTGTGAAATATTTATGGAGCCGAAAGTCTCATCTTTCCATATGCTTAGAGGAGAAGCTGAGGCGGTAAAATGAGATGAATGGACTCAGTGGCAGCAACAATGGGCCCAAACTTAGTTGTGAGGAGGGCTCAGAACTGGGCAGTTTTCTTTCTGTTGTACATAACATAGGGTTGCTGTGCGTCAGAATCATGCCGAACAACAATCTGGGTAAAGTTCTGGGTGATACTGACATGTATGTTAATCTCACGTTGTTGGTTTTCTGTCCAATGAACTCCCTTTAGTGTTACTTTCTGATTGTTGTTGTTGTTGTTGTTGTTGTTGTAAGGTTGGTCGGATTAATTAAAATTAAAATTCTTTTAATTTCTGTTAATCGAAATATTCTAATTTCACCACCATATTTGATGACAAATTTGCTGGGTATGTGATTCTTGCTTGGCAACTTTTTCTTTTAAGAGTTTTATACATTTCTTGCCATTGTCTTCTTGCCTGTAGGGTTTGTACTGAGAAATCAGAGCCTAGTCTTATTCTCTTGATAGGTAAATTTTCATTTTTTTCCCAAGCTGTTCTCAGGATTCTTTGCTTGTTTTTGGTTTTTCAAAGTTTGATTATGATATGTCTTGGTGGTTTTCTTTGGCCTGTTTGCAGTTCATTTGACTTCTTCAGTGGCTTCTTACTGTCTTTCATGATATTAGGGAAGCTTCTGTCTAACAACTCTCAGGCAATATTTTATATGAGGTTTTTCTTTTCTCTTCCTGTTCCACATACATTTTAGACTTTCTTCATATAATTTTTTCTGATTGTTCCTCTAGCAGATGAGTATTAACAGATTTGTCTTCAAGCTCAATAATGTAGTCTTCCACTAATTCTGCTTCACTGCCCTTTCAATGTGTTATCTATTTTTGAAGTCTTGGTTTTTAATCTGGCTTTCGACTTGCTTTTTTGTAAGGTTTGAACTTTTTCATTTATCATTTCTTGTAGTATTTTCCTGAATTCTTCTAATGTTTTGTCTGTTTTGCTTGATTTCATCTACAGTTTTCCCAATCATTCTCTCAGTCTGTTGAAGGAACCTAAATATCGTTCTTTTCAATTCCTTATCAAGCAGTTCCAATTCCATTTCTGGCGTTATATTTTCTGACTTTGTATTTTGGTCTCTTTTTAAGGCACTCAGTCTTGTTTCTTTGTGTAAACGGAAATTGTCTGTTGTCTTTGAGACTTTGGGGTGCTGGTGCATTTATATTTAATTGCTGATTGTGTGTATTGATTTTCAGCCACTCACCACCTGTCTCCTGGGGGATGTGATAGAGATTAGAAGTGTGAACACAATTCTCTGTTCACTGTGTAGTATAGTTCAGAGTGGCCATATTTTCCAACTACTGACCATTCCAATCTTCTTTGCTTCCATCCTTTGCATTCCAGTCACCACTATTTGTCAATGCATCGTGATTGCATGCTTAATTAATTTCAGACTGAAGAAATTAGTAGAATCACTCAATTTCATCATCTCTGGCTTTAGTGGTTGGTGCATAAATGTGAATAAAAGTATTAACTGGTCTTCCTTGTAGGCATATGGATATTATCCTATCACAGAAAGCATTATACTTCAAGGTAGATCTTGAAATGTTCTTTTTGATGATGAATGCAACACTATGCCTCTTCAATTTGTTGTACCTGACTTAGTAAACCGTATGATTGTCAGATTAAAACTGGCCAGCACCAGTCCATTTCAGCTCACTAATACCTAAGGATATTGATCTTTATGTGTTCCATTTCATTTTTGACAGCTTCTCATTTTCCTAGATTCATACTAAGTACATTCCATGTTCCTCTTACTAATGGATGTTTGCAGCTGCTCTCCCTATTTTGAGTTGTGCCCCATCAGTAAAGGAAGGTCTGGAAAGCTTTATTTCACTACGCCATGCCGCTCTTCTCTCCTTGAGGAGAAAGCTCTTCTCCCGATG